AAGTATAAAATTTACTTTTAATTTCATTCTCTTACTAACGTTAGCGCCAAATGTGAGAACTGAATGGATGGAATTCAATACATACAACGATTGTATCAGACTGTCACAATCGATATTTTAATTACTATTACCTATTCATGTCAAAGTTAAAATCAACTTTGTGTAACTCACTACATAAAATCTACCTTTGTGTAAGTTGGTGGAGAATTTCTCTACAACTTTGTTTAATATTATAATTATCTCTTATCTTTGGTCCCATAAGAGTAAGTAATAAACCTGGTCTCCTTATTTTCTGCTCAGATCAGTCCTCATCTGAGGGCTCATTTAATGAGGGTTGAGACCTTTCCCTTTCAAAAACACTGCCTTCTGTGGAGTTCTTTTTATCCTTTTTCCTTTCAGTAAAAAAACTTTCAAAGCAATTTGCCCCTGTTTTCCAATCTTGCAGTACTCCACATTCCATTATTGATTGATTCACTTTGAAAAATAGAAACTGCAGAAAACGACTGCTACTTATCAGCAAAAAAGAGAGAAAGAAAAATTGTGTGCGAGCTTTTGAGAGTTATGATAATGATGATGATGATGGTGTAGAACTGAAGCAGAGTAGCTGTTTCTGCTGCCAATTTGCCATGCATTCAGAATCACTGATTGATCAATCTTTCTTACTACTCTAAGTCTTTTCTTACTTTCACTATTTTTAAGTTTTAAATAGTAGCGTTGGATTTGAGGCCTTTTTTTTGAGGGTATCTTGACTTTGCCAAAAGTTTCTCGTTTTCTTTGGTCGTTCTCCTCTGTATACTTCAATGGGTTCTCGACTAAGCCATGGGATCCGACATTTAATCACTTTCTTACTCTGTTTTCTGATCACCTGGAGCTATTTCAAGCCCATTGCTGAAGGTGAAGTTAAATTCCAATTTCTGCATTTTGTCAAGTTGAATTGAATTGGATTTGCAACTTTTCTCAAAGTCTCTGTTTTTATCTTTTCTAATCTTGGCAGGAAGAACAGAACCCAATTTGCAAAAACAGAGCATTGGAATTGAACAGAATCAGGTGAGGTTTTTTTGAGGATAAAGATTGCTCCTTTACAACAACTACATTCTGCATGCTTAATTTTTTAACAAATTTCTGTAACTATTGACAGACCAAAGGTGAAGAGAAGGTTGGAGTAATGGTGAGATTACTGATAGGATCAAGGCCACCAAGATGTGAGAGAAGATGCAAGTCTTGTGGGCATTGTGAGGCAGTTCAAGTTCCAATTAATCCAGTTCTTAATAAATCCCAACAACAACAACAATCAAGAAGAACAAGAACAAGCAGAAGTGGTCACTTGTTTGTTGCAACCCCAACCATAGCCTACTCTAGAGGTGATGACATCTCCAACTATAAGCCTATGTGTTGGAAGTGTAAATGTGGCAACTTCATGTTCAATCCTTGATTGAACTTTTGCACATTTTCTCAAAAAAAAACAAAAAGAAAAAAAAGGAAGTAATTAAATTTAGGGGACTTTTTTTTGGGGGGGTCTTCAGCTGTATGCAATTTATATATATATAAAAAAATGTAATTGTCCTTGACTTGATGATCAAATTAGAAATAGAAAGCTTTCTAATTAGCTAGTTATATTAGTCCTCTATAAGCAAGCCCTTTGGTTTGACATTTTGTATATCTTGTTATGCAAATGTATAGGAGTAAAATCTCCTTCTCTCTGTCATTTTGGTAGCTACTATTTTTGGGAATTATATTGTATTTATTGCAAGTTTGTTTAAAAGAAATATGGGGAAATGTATGTTCATATAACAACGTTATTTGGTTTTCACCATTTGCTCTTACTAGTAAAATTTTCATCAATTTATATCTTATGCTTTGTCCCTTTTGCCCTTTTGTGCCTCACTTCTGATCATCAGTGATGATTTTAACGCTGGTAAATGGTAGCATTTAATATAAGAAATGCACCATTAAAGATAATGTCTTGTTTGTAATAGAATGAGGATGATTAGGTGAACTATGAAGTAATAATTAGAATGGGTAAATGGCAAGTGGGGATTATGTACTACTATTTTACATATGTACAACAAATGGACCAGAAGGTACAACAAATTATTTGGGGATTTGCAAAGAGGAAAAGATTGGGTTGATGAAGAAGAGAAAAGAAGGGCATGGGAAAGTTTTGTTTGATGCATTATGTTATTTGAGAGATGGCAAAAGTGAAGGACAACATTGGAATTTGGAAGTACCAGAAGAAAAGGGTTTTTTTTTTTTTTTTTTCTTTTTGGGGTGGTGATATTAAATTTTTAAATGTGATAGGGAAAAGAGAGCATCAACCCTTGTCAGTTTGCAGTACCTGTTTTCGTATCTTACAAGATTTATGTCTTAAAATTATATTTTAAATATTTTCTGAATAATGTGCACGATCAGATTCCAGTGAAGCAAAAAAAGAAAAAAAAAAATTAAAGGGAGAAAAAGGGCTACTGAACCGTGAGTCGTCTCTCTGTGCTTTTCTCGATTGGAACAATTTCTGCAAATGCACACGATACACTGTAGAAAGTTAGACTGGACAAACATTATATATAGTCTTCTTTTACTCAAATTAATCTTTCGTTTTCAGTTTTCAGTTGAAATCTTCTTATTTGACCTTACATTGACGAGCTTATTATAACAATCTGTTACTCTCTTTCCGTCATAAAATAATTATTATTCCGTTCAAAGCAGAGAACTAGAGAGAAATACCAATTATTCCTAAAATCATTCTATGTTTCTAATCGATAATATTATTACGAAATGATGAGAGTAGTTACATTTATACACTATTTTTTTAAAAACAAAGAAATGCATTTTTGTTTGTAAACAAACACCCCAATTTATTTGGAGACTTGGGATAAAATAATGTATTTGAAATGTAGTTATAAAGTGTTATGAAAATGGTTAAAAATTTGTCCAAGAGATATTTCTATTGTACAGCAACATTTTGTCATGTATTTGTCATGTCAATGCATTGTACAAAGTCCACTTTTATATATTTCACTATTTCAAAATTGTTTCTTTCTTGTAAGGGAATATGTGACTAATTACTGTTCTGGAAAAGAATGTGACAATTTAATAGATTATTTTATCATTTTTCTTTTGTCTGTTCACAAAGAGTGTGACAATGTCGTGGCTCTCGTGCACAAAGCAAAATCCAATTTTAGTGGGTATGTAATATGGTCCAATCGCAGGAATTGCTAGACACCTTAAAGAAGACAAACATCTTGGGCTTGAAAACCTCATTTCACTTTCATGGTAAGGTTTATTAGACTGAAATGAAGGCCCATCTTACCACTGAGGGACCAAAGAACTACATAGCGGAGAAACTTCCCCCCCGTTAGAGACCACCGAAGGAAATTACAGTATTTGCTTACTATTACTCACTTGTTAATCTGGATCACATTGCCTTCGAAAATAAATATTTTGTCAATACTCCCGTGTATGACCAGTGACGGGATTAGGGTAGGCGGTCCATCGACCCTGGCAATTTTTGTTGTTCGAACTTTTGGTGACGGTTGAATAACTCTATTTTCGATTCCTATAATTTGAAAGTCTCGTTCTGTTACAATGTGTAATTTGTCATAATATATAAGTATTTTGGGCTCTCATCTCAAAACCAATCGGCAATAAGTGGGGTGACCTTTGAAACTTATTTACTGAGTTAATTCTTTTCACTGTAGCAATGTAGAACAGATAATACACCTTAACACCCTCCCTCAAGTCCAATGGGTCTTTAAACTTTTTGTCCAATGGACTTGGATCAGGACAAGAACATAATAACCCACGAGTCAATGCTCAAGTGGAAGAAAACCAGTTATATCTCTGGTTCGGTACACAACAAGTCCACGAATTAACGCTCAAGTAGGAAAAAAGTCAATTATACCGCTGAATCGGTCCACAACAAGCCCACGAGTCAAAGCTTAAGTGGGAGAATATAAAATCACCACGGGCCACCTCCAGCCCAGAACCACCACAGGTCTTTGGAGAATATAAAATTACCACGGGTCACCTCCAGCCCAGAACCACCATAGGCTCAGACCTATGTCAAAGTAACCTTGGGCTTCAACTCAAAACCAATTGGCATGAGTGGAGTAGTCTTTGGAACTTATATATTGAATAACTTCTCTTCACAATGGCGATTTGGGACAGATAATACGCCTTAACACAATTGTGTATAAATTATCTTTGATTTTCCAATTCCGAGGAGCTAGCATGTAACTTAACTTAAGAGCAATGTTTGCTTAGAATATTAAAAAACAATGTCCTTTGAGAGGGAGGATGGAGAATAGATTTTTATTTCCGCAGATCCATGAACCACCGATTTCAACAATAAATGAATCAACCAACCAACAAAGGTTAGACTTTAGAGAACTCAAAACCAATCTTTTCGGTTTTTATGATGGACCCAAATCAAGCTCTGTTGTTGAAATGAAATTTGTCCTTTGTGAAATGACAAAATAATATGATACAATATATCCCATGGCCATAAGAATGATCATTCAAGTTACATTGTTTTACCAAAATTTTAGATAGTTTTTTTTTTTCTTTTTCTTTTTCTTTTTTTTTTGGTAGGAGTTATGTTCTCCAGTGAATTCAACGGTGAATTCGGGCAAATAATATGGTCATGTACAAACTACAAGTCAAATTTGTTAGGCTAAATAATTGAGCGAAATAGAGATCAGTTGCGAGTGTGATCGTAAAGCAAAAACGTAGCATAACCAAGAAGAAGTGCATTGCCAAATGAAAAAATTCGTGGCATCAATTTGTCATATGGTATTCAACAAATGGCCAAACAGAAGGAAGGTGGCTGAATTTTGAGAGCTTTTTTCCATTTGTTGTAAGAAAATTTGGGTATAGTGGGACTACGTGGAAGTGATAACTCACTACAAGCAAATCTTGTCCTACATTAATTGTACATTTTCCTCCTGGCCAAATTCCAGTTTATAAAGCAGACAGACCAAATCAAAAATCACACTCTTGAAACTCCATTTTCCACCATTCAATCTCAAATTCACTCATGTGAAGTTGTTTCCTTCTTCTCTACTGGTACGTTGAATTTTGATTTGTAATGACATTTTCTGTGTGATTTTGTGGTTTTGAGATAGTTGAACAGCAAATCTTTATTGATATATGGTGCATTGGTCTAATAAAAATGTGATCTTGATTTTGAGTGAGTACTATCTGAAAGCTAGCTAGCCCTCTTTGAGTTTATCTGCAACCATATAAAAAAAGATGAGATTTTTATATTTGTTAAAGCATTTCTGTGTACTTCTATGGTGCAGGGTTTTTTTTTTTTTTTCAGGGTATTGAAGATGGTTTTAGGCTAATGTTGAAGCAGTGAGAAAGTGGAAAAGACAACAATGTTGAAGCAAACATCCAGTTTTAGGAATCAAAAAGGAAGAGGGTATCATTCCAAAGTGAAGTTATCTCTTAAGATATGTCTGCTGGTTGCCATTTGCATATGGTTAGTCTACCAAGCTACTCAATTCAGCAATCAGAAAGCGGCTTTGGTTGGGAGTAGCTTCAAGAAAGAAGTGGTTCATCCTCAAGCTGAAAATGGTTACAAAATGTTGAAGTTGGGGAGAAAAAATCTGGACCCTCGATCAAACAAGGTAGCAACATCGGATTCTCAGAAACTCCAGGATGATGATCGGGAGACAGAAACATCGGTGGATGGCGAAATTGGAGCTGGAAATGATGATGGGAGTTTAGGGAATCAGGAAAAGGCTGAAGAAGGTGAACATGAGCAATTGGAGGACTTAATAGATGTTGACGACAGCGAGGATTAGATTATGATTAATTGGCAGAAAAACCAAAAGGGTTTTAAGTAAAGCAGTAGAAACTAATGTACAGTTGCTTAGAATATCACCATAAGAATGACAAAATTGGTAATAGACTATGATTAAGGTGGTGTCAGATTTTCAACCATATTAAGAACATGAGGAAGAATGGGTAGTTCTGGTCGTTCTGGATTGTGTGATAGTGAATGAATATGTCAAGAATTTGCTTTATTTACAGAGTGTCTGAAAGATAATTATAAAATTCTGCAATGATAAGATTATATCTGAGTTGCAATTGATGACAAAAGTCTGAATGTCTGCAATCTGCATGCGTCTTCAAAAGGAATAAATGCTAAAGAAAAATTTTCGGGTAGCTGTTCACACTGAAACCCTCTTTCGTTTCTTTCCCGAGGCGGAATTGCAGAGGTAGCATCTAGAGGTTGAAGGTAAGAAAAGGCAACTTGGGTTTCCATTTTCATTCCATTCAATGCATCAGAAGATGACACTTTCCAGCAACTTGTCAAATGAGATGTCTGTCACAAAAATGTTGTGTAGTTGTACATTTCAAAGCAACTGCGTCATCCATGTCCCGTTTGTGAGAGAGACATGATTATTAACGTACAAAAAAGTGAGAAATAATCTTTTCGTCTATTGTAAAACAATCTACAAGCATCACAGCAAGAAAATAAACAGTGACGGATCATGTAAGAAAGGAAAGAATCAAGGCTGGATTCTGGCCTTCAAATGTTAATGCTCTTCTAGCAAGAAGGATAGTATGTTGATTAGAATACATCGATGTTTAACTAATCACAAATATGGCAACAATTCAAAACTAACTTCACAAGTTTCTGAACAACAATTGGGAGGAACAGGCGCATCCAAGGAATCAAAACGGATGATTGATTAGATGCCTAAAATTTAGAAATCCCTGATGTCAAGATTCTTAAATTACCGAACCAGTTGTCAAGCCCACTGCGCTGGTGTTAGCAGAGACTCTGTGCAACTGGTCACTTGAACTCATCTGTGCACGCTTTCAGCTCTAGTTGCTCTTAGTCTTCTCTGGCTGATGTGCATTCCATTGCCACAACATCCATACTATGGATGTGCCTGTAAACATGAAGGGATGATTCAGTTGGCAAAATAAAAGCTATAAATCTGTTACTGCAAATGAACTTCAGAGTGAGCTAAAATGCTAGCATGCTGCTGGTTTAACCAGTATCCTGAACTAAAAAGCAACTAGAAGCTATAAAGCTCAGCATAGAAATCTGTTACAGAACTTTGTCTTCACAGAAAGTTATTCACAAAGAAGCTTTTGTTCATCAAGTTTAAAAATATATATATAAAAAAAAAAGAGGAAAACGAAAATGTTGGGGAACATTCAAGATGACAACTCAGACTCTGAATACAGAGAAGTTAATGACCAATGCACAATTGGAAAATATTTCCAACAGTGCCAGCTGCAAAAACATGCCCACCGCTGAGGCCCAAGAAGAAGGGAAGAAACGAGAAACAAGAAACAATTAAGAACTAAGTCGTGAAAAGTTTCCCAGGTAGAGCCTAGAAGTTCATATTCACTTTCTTATGATTTTCCTTTTCGTAGAAATGATATTCCCTTAACAGAATAGTATTAGATCTACTGAGTCGGGAACCAAAACTGGCGATCAAGAGTTATTAGACTAAAACCAGATTTGTGTATCATGTTAGGATTTAAAGTGAACAGAAAGACCATTATTTCTAGCTCGAAAAATAAACTGTTGCATGTTATTACAGTGTCCAGGTTCAGCAGCTATTACGGAAACAAAAAGTTTTCGTAATAATAGTTTACATAATATAAGTTACCAATTAAGTTCAGCAGTATTTTGTTCAACAAAACTATGGTCTGCTTCTTTTTTTTGCATGCAGCGGAGTGTATCACATACAAGCTCCTTTTTCTACTGAGTCAAATGAATCAAGATGGACGTACAGAATCTATGCCCTAGTCCAACATGTTGAACCATGGGTAGAGATGTTAAGGAGCTAGGCAATGAAAGAGTAATCTGATAGAAAATGATGTATTTCCATTCTTATAGGATGGCTCAAATGATGGACTATCATTCACTTTCAATTTGCATGGTTCAAAATAGGAAATTCCTAGTCACCTCAAACATCTCAAGACAAGACTCAGTGTACTAGAATACATGCAATTCAAGGTAAACTCCACTTTAAGAACAAGAAGTACAATCAGCTACAAGAAATATGGAAGTTCAAGAATCATAACAGTGATTTTAGGAGACATACCGGCAAAGATGCCAACTGTAGTAAGATTCCCAATGGCCATAGTTTGAAATATCAAATATTCAGACAGGAAATGACCAAATGCATAGACGAAGGATAAAAACGTTGCCAGATACAATGGCTTGTTATCCAGGTTAAGAGCGCAAAGAATGCAGAGAGTACAGGTCAATAATGTCCAAATTCCAAATGTCCGCCCATGAACTTCAGTCACTACAACAGAACAGAAGAAATGAATGTTTGATTAGGCACAGTTCAACTTCGGGGATCAGAGGACAAAAAATCCTTCACATATAAGACATACAATTCATCCGATTAGCAACAAACTACAAACAATTCATCAGATTAGTAACAAACTATCTTTCAAAAAACCTGATTATGCATCTGTTTATTTACCACCCATGAAAAGAATGACATCTCAATCTACAGTGGGGCCATCTCAGGTTCACTTATTAACTCAAAACCAAGTTGAAATATTTATATATTTTTTTGGAAGTCTTTCGGCCATTAAGTCTGGTCTCTTCACAAAGCAGGAAGTAGCCAGAAAATTTTTTGTCAACATATCAAAAGGCTAACTGTAATGCAGCGAGCATTGACTTGGTTTTTGCAAATTGCAACTGATACAAATAAGCTTATGGTTTGCATTCAACATGAAGTGTTCCAAGAGCTTTATCCCATTGATTACGTCGTAGACATTGACGGATGCACAAATTAAGAGTATAGATTCAGCACGATTTAGTAAAACCTACAATTCTTTAGATTCACAATTGTAGGATTCTACCTCCTAACTTGCAACAGTCTCTGGCTCCAATACAGTCCTTTTGCATTGTATAAGATCGCAGAATTTGAAGCTCAAACTTTCAAAACCATACAAATCCATCCCAACTTTTCAAGATTTCTTAATGCCATATTGAGAAATAAATTTATTTTATCAAAAAATAAAAAATTTTAGAGCAACAGTTCCATGGAACCTACTGGTTTAAAGTAAAGCCAACTTGTCAAACAACTAAAATTAAAGAAGTGGCATAGTATTCCATCACATTGCACCAAGCATGCATGCTTTTCAGTGAAAGGCAAATGAGCTACAACATCTAAACTGGAGAGAAGTAAAACCCGATAACTCAGGGAGATCCCAATAAAAGAATGGGAAATTTCTACTATTATTGCATTAGAAAAAAACATTCCTAGGGTGAAGCACCGGTGACATTACACATCCAACAAAAGCCGTAATTAAGGGGATTTGCCCCATTTGGGATCTCAAAAAATAGTGTCACGGGGGTGTATCTGATTCTATTCTCCCCAATAAACCCATACGCAAAAATCCTACCCCAATAAAAAGTAAGATTTCGTTCATGAATCGCACGAACTCCCAACAACAACAACAGATGCATACACCAACTATACAACCTAAACAACCTCAATAAATGTGGGGGTTGCTTACCAAATGTGAAACTAATAAATGACTGAAAAAAAAAGAATTAAGAAATCAATGAAAGAGCATAAACAAAAAGAGGGGGAGAAGGGGATGAAATGCATAATGCATATTGCTTAACTGGTTGTCTTGGAGAAAACAGCGAGTCGGAGGGCCCAAATATCGACGAATCCGAACCATACCGATGCCAATCGGAGTGAACCCACCAACATTAACCACCATCCCAGCAGCTTCATCTTCTTTTCCTTCTCCTTTACTTCTGTTTTTATTTATTTTTTTTTATCTCTCTGTTTCTGCGTGTGAATGAACTGTGAAAACACTGATGACTGAACTCACAGATTAGCCGGAGAGTTTTCTTCTGTTCTGGCAACGTTTGAAGAGTTGACTTTTTCAGTTAAAAAAAAAAATTAATACGGGCCTCTGTTTGGAGATGGGCTTATGAGCCCAAAAATGAGTTTCTTGGGTTCCCAAAATTTGAGCTTTCTTCACTTTTGATTTACGATCTATGAAAATAAATAAATTGAGGTTTGAAACTTGCCCTGCATCAACCTTAAATATTTTGGCCAACTGTCCCATCCATTGAGGTGCTTACAATTCAGCGAGGGGGATTAGCCACTGTTGACGACGGTAGACACCCTGCAAATATGCGAAAATAAATAAATAAATAAATTGAATTAATATTAACCCCCAAAAAATTAATTAAGAAAAGAAAAAACACTTAAAAAATTACAAGAGCAGCTACATGTGGAAAATGTGTGGTCCATCTTTCATGAATCTACCGATTCCCGACTCACCTATAGAAGTTATTGTTGGACCATTTGTGTCAGTTAGCGAAACATATGGTTGCCTGAAAAAGATCGAAAAGGAAAAAAAAAAAAAAAGAAAAAAAAGTGTATATTTTTCGAGTTCGAATGTCGTCATTTACGAAACGATAGTGTCTTTTTACAGCTTGTAACGCTTCCCGGGTGAGGTTGAGGTTTGTTAGGGTATAGCGGTGGGGTTTGTAGTGTTGTATAGTAAGCGTACCTTTAAAGAAAGAAAGCTACACAGAGGAAAGTGTATAACTATCTGGGCCAAAGTTGGTTTCTCATTTGAAACAGCTGCCAGACTGGTTGAGCTGAAATGTTTTTAGCCAAAAAATAAATAAATAAATAAAGGCAAAATTCCCCCAAACTCCAGCTGTGTGAAATGATGATGAAATTAAATGAGTATTTGATTTGATTTGGATACGTAATTAGCCTAACATCATGGCAAGGAAAGATGATCACACAAGCAATCTGTGATCTTAGTGTTTATGATTTGTGCAATCAGATACAGTTAACGGACAATTATTTTGGGACGAAGAAATATGAAGAAAAACACATGACATGGTGACCAGGTGATGGAATCGCAAAATTGATTAAGATCAGATAAACAGCTAATCTCTGTCTGCATGATCAAAAATCAAAATCCCTGATGAAAGTGAAAGTGACCTTCAAATTGGCCCCTGCCTCAATTCTATGAGGTTGCCTGTTGCATTTGCATAAATGTTTTTGCTTGCTCTCCAACTAATGAAGTAACCCCAATCATAAATTTGTGTTGTTTTCTATTCGATGCTGACAGCACAGTGTTTGGCGGATAATATTGGCCTACAACTGACCCATCCGAAACTATATCGTTCTGTCCTCTAAAAAAAATAATTATTTTATTGAATGTTAATTTTTATCATGTTAATTATTAAAAGTTAATTTTTACTTAAAAGGCATGTTGTTGTTGTTGTTATAATTATTAAACGTTATTATTGAACTTTCAATACATGAGAAAAGATATCTCAAAACGGACTTGACAACGTGAAATTGTATTCCTGACTTTATTCTGAATTAACGAAACAATGACCTCGAACACTGACTATGTAATGCAATATTAGAAAGGCTAAGAAACAAAAACTTAGGATTCTGGAATGGTCCAGGAGCTTCATCACCCTCTGAAGGACTCAACGAACAGTAACCAAAACAATTTAATTATTTACTGCAACAAAGTTGACATTTTGCTCGTATGATTTATGAGTTTATACACCAAACAAGGCAAAATTCCCAAAAAAAAAAATATAGAAAAATAAAATTACAATCTCAATTCTCAACTTCCTCTTTAGTCTTGCATTGACTACTGACTGGCCAGCCAGGCTGGCGTTGGGCTTTAATAAGACTTTGTTGTTTAGTCTGTGAGTGTGTTTTTCATTCAACAAATTTGAACTTAGTTAACAACTGTATTTGTTTATTATGCTAATGGTCCCCGGTCCAGAGCACACCTAAGCAAATAATATTGATATGGAAGGCCCTACGTTTTGCCATGATGCACATTTTGTGATCTTTATAGTTTCTAGTTTTTCTACCAAACCCAATTATTAAAATGTACCCCATGCTCCCATACATTCCACAAAATCTCACTAACATGTATGCGAAGGAGAGAAATAAAGAACTTGAAATGTGATCATGGTTATTTACTTAAAAGTTGAAGAGAATGCCTTCACTTATAATTTACTAATGGTGAAAACCTAATTAATTATGATCTAACTAGAAATTTTAGAAATTAGAGAAATAATAAAGACTACTAAGAGGTCGATTTGCTAACATGAACTCTGAACACGAAAACAAGTACTCCCTCTGTCCTATAATTATTGTCCAGTTTAAGTTTTCATTTCTAGTTCAAATTATACTAAAAATGAAATCTCATACTGGATAATAATTTTGGGACAGAGGGAGTAACAAGTTTTGCCATGACATAGTAACTCAACATTGACCTACTTAAGAGCGATCTTTATAGTTTTCCTTTTAAAGGCTTGTTCTCTAAACTTGTTGCCATTCTACTAATATTAATACTATTACGATCAAATATGATGTGTCATGAATAGTGTGTTGTTATGCATTGGGTCTCAAAGTAACTTTATAATTTAAGTGTTCGGATTTTACAAGCTACGCAATTATATCATTTCCCATCTATATTTGTTTCAATTAAAAGAAAGACTTAAATTTAGTGTAAAAAAAATTTATGTTTAATTTTTAGGTTTCTAGAATACTTTGTTTTAAGGCATAGAGGTGATTATGTAACTCTTGATGAAGTGGTAAGAAAAAAAAAATCAATTAAAAAAATCAAGAAATATACAAAAGATTGTCAAACATTCTTGGGATTTGTTTGTGCATTGTTTTTAATGAGTTTACCTCCCTTTTTTGAATTTTGGAGACTTCTTTTTATGTTTTTAAGATAATCTTAAATATTTTAAAGTAGTAACTTTTTAAGCCTTCAATAACCTACCCCAAAAAAAAATAAAAAATGGTAATAGTCATACCAGATCATACACAAACCTTGGACTTTTTTAAGCGCTGGAAACAAAATCATAATGATGAATTTAGAAATTATTTTATGCGTTTGTGTTACAGCTAAGCTAAAATGCAAAATAGTGGCAAAAATATAAATTCATAAGTCAATAAGGCTTACAGCTAGTCACCACAATACTATAAAAAGTCTAATCAATAATCATTATCATTATTATTCCAAATTTTTTAAAAAAATTTCGTGCAAGGCAAAACATGATCCTTAATTTTTCCAAATATCTGTTTCAGAACTTTCTGTTCTTCCTTGAACAGTCAATTATTCTAACTAGATTTGAAAGTAACTAATAAAACACTTTTTTGCTCTCTCTTTCAACTGCTCTAATTATCTGACTACAATTAGTAACTAATAATCTCTCTTTTCCAACTACTCAAACAGTACCTAGCAGTTAGTAGCTCGTCGATTGATACCAAATTTACTTCATTGAAAGATACACTCCTTCCGTCACGAAATTATTATTAAGTTTTACTTTGAATTTTTAGTTGGAATTCTATTAAAAGGGAAAATGTTAATTTTCGTTGAATGTAGACATAACAACATTATTAGGCATAAAAGCAAAAGCCATGAAGGACGTAATCTTTTCTTTGGACAACTCTTAACACTAGGCTATGTAGTTCTCCGAATTATCTATGTAGAATTTTTGTTGCATTTCTTAGATTTCTATTTTGGTAGGAGCCTAAGAGGAATCGTAATATCCCGATCTTGTTTATAAAGAACAGCTTTTACAGAAGAGAGCGCACGAAATGAAATACTCCCTCCGTCCTATAATTATTGTCCAGTTTAAGTTTTCATTTCTAGTTTAAATTGTACTAAAAATGAAATTTGAAAGTGGACAATAATTTTGGGACAGAAGGAGTATGAAATATCTTAAGGGGTTCATTTTTAATGGCCAGATCATGAATGACCATATATTTTCGATTTATTAGGTAAATTCTTGATTAAAATTTTAAATTGTAAGTGGGCTACTTCAGCTAAGATGAACAATGAAGGTGAGAACAAGTTTTGCCGCAAATTAATCAAATAATTTTGTAATTTAATTTTAATCGTCTCGCCACTAGCCTAGTGCCGAAATGAAATAAACAGATTATGTCACACTTGGAAACACAACAATAAATTGGGCATAAAAAATAAAGTGAACATAATTAAATCTAATCCAACTAGCATTAGTGCATTACCACTACTACTAGGCAGGACGGACATACAAAGACAAATCATACACTAACTTCATTCCGAACTCATTTCGAAGAAATAAAATAAATATATATACATAAAAAAGCCAAAGGTAGATCACCATTCACAACGGGGAACAATAACATGAAAATGAATAATTCTCAGAAGAACAAATATGGAGAGATTCATGAGAAATCTGAATTAGGGCTCAACTTGAACTTAGGCAATAATGTCACTAAACAGAATTCAAACCATCCCTGAGTTACAACCAAGAAATGGTAAAAAGCCAAAGCCAGTAAAAAAAGATTACACCTCACAAAAAAAAAAAAACACAGGGTGCCCACTTCCAGTTAAGAAAAAAACCCACCACCAACAAATCCTTCTCTCTCAAAGGCTGTACACAGTTCAAATGGATTCTTCTTAATAGCTCTTCTTTTTCACTGTCAGTACTAACTCACTAATTACCCCCACTCTACTACTTACTACTACTAAAACCCCCAGCTATACTTAATGACGGATTAAAAAATAACCATCATATATCCCCCAAAAGGTTTAAAAAAAAAGGAAGCAGTAAAAAATATCGATCAGGACTGTAAATCCTGAGGAGGGCACAATTCCTTGCGGAGCTTCTGAGAGAAAAGCCTGCAAGCATCCATGCTGAGATCAATGGCTGCTGATAAAGCCACAAATGCTGCTGCATCCTCCGTGCAGTTCACGTGCTGCACACTGATTTCTACCGTCGGTTGTTTCTTACTTTTACCCCCACTGTTTTTACCGTCAACAATCTTGTTACTGCCACCACCACCACCACCGCTACTCCGGCTGCTGCTCCCTTCGCCTGCCACGCTGGCAGACATCACGAACCCTCTGTACATGCAGTAGGGCCACAACCCATACCCAAAATCCCCGCTGCTTCTCGGGCTGACCGCCGGTGACGCTGCACTGCCAGGTGTCGTTCGCCCGTTAACGGTGCCGCCACCTGTATTGGTCGGTGAAGAGCCCAAGTCGATCACGAATTTCCCACCTTTGCCACTGCTTATTGTGGACTCGGCCAAGACAATGCCGGCGGCAGCCGAGTCCGGAATGAGTTCGAACCGGTAGCCGAGACCGTCGGAGGAGCCACGCTCACGCCAAGCTTCAAGCCGTCCCCATGGCTTCCAAGTACAGTCACTTGGGCGAAGGATGAGCCATGAACCGGGGTTAGAGCGGCTGACTCGGTCTGAACCAGGGGAGGCCACAAATGGAGTGACCATGGAAGCAGCAGCCACAGGCGAACCAGACAAATCATGGACTGTGATGGACCATCCTTTTCTCTCTTTGCCGGGCCTTTCCCTTTCACTCCCAAATGAACTCAACCATGATCTTGTACAGCTTTGCTCCGGTGGCAGAGACCTAAAACAGAAAAAAAGCCCAGAAAATTTTTAAACCCATCAGTACAAAAATTGACTGCAAATTTGCCCCCCCAAAAGGAAGGGGAAAAAATAACATAAATTAGTAGCAATGATGGAAACAGAATTTGTTAAAAGCGTAAAGAAGTTTGCTTTAAATTGAACCTAGTTGAGCTCCAAAAACCTTAAGTTTTGTAAAGGTTACTTAAGAACATTAGTAGGGACTAAGCCACTTTTTAAAAAGGATTAAAGTTTGGGTATAAAGAAGAGTAAAGTTAGGTCTTAGGTTCTTAGAAAAAACAATTTTGCCTTTACCGTATAATATGAGCAAACATTTGTTCTAATTCTAAGTATACTTTGATTAATTTTGCGCCAAGAATAAATTACAAGGAGAGGAATCAATGCTCCAAAGGGTTTTGTTTTGTTCATTTATGGTAGCCAAAGGAATAGAAAAACAGGCAAAGGGAATCATGAAAATTCGATTAAAAAAAAAAATTGTGAAGGAACAAAATCTAATTAAAAGAGGCTAGAAAAAAGAAAGCGGAAAAGTTACCTAGAACGCTGATTGCGGTCCGGTTGGGAACGGAAACTGAATTTGCAAGTGAAAACCGGCTGCCGGATGCTCCCCTGTATCTGGAACACTTGAGGGCTGCATTCGGGTTCGCCGTCGAACTGGAAAACGAACCTCGGGTCGGGTTCCGATCTGACATTCAAGTGAAACTGGGCACTGGCGCTTTTCGAACTCTTCCCCACATTTGCCCAACCGTTGTGAAAAACCGCGGGTCTGGACTCTGTTCCGGCCAAATTCAGCGGCACTTTAACCTTCCCCAACAGCCTCTCCGAGTTCAACCCACAGGTCGTGCCACCGCGGCCAGTATAAATCGAGATACTGAGACGCAATTCCTTATTAGAACCGAAAATTGACTTCCCGGAGAGCTTCTCGATGTCGGACTTGCTCAGATGAAACGTCGCGACGGCAAAGTTCTGAGCATTCGCCGTCGAACCGCCGGCGGCGGCGTCAGGGCACTGGCCGTCGGGAGAAATGCAGGGGACAACAGCAGTCTGGAGAGGGAAACCCTTAAGCTTAATTTTGCAGAAACACGGCGAAGAAGAAGGATGAACCACCGTACGAGCAGGTTTAGAAGCCACCGGAACCTTCAAAGCTAAATTACCCACAGTTAGCCTCACGAAAGGACACGGATCCATTCGTGCCCTCCCGAGAGAAAAATACCACCGAGTCTCAAAAGGGGTACAATAAAAATTTCCAAAAGGTTGAGTAGAAGAAGAAGAAGAAGAAGGAGAAGAGTGAGGAAGAGTGAAATAAAGCTATGACATAGGGAAACGTGAAGATATGGAAAGGAGAGGAGGGATGAACTGGAGCGCAGAGACAGAGAGGAAAAAACGGGGTTAAAGGGAAAGGAAAGGAAAGTAAGCAAAATCAAATAATCACAAAATAGGAGGAAGCTGTTGGTCGTCGTCGTCTTGTTCGTCTCTTTTCATGGAGGTGTATGCGACTGTGTGTGTGCGTGTTTTTTTTTTTTTTTTGGGGGTGGGGGTTTGCTTTTTCTGCTTCTTCCAAAAACTCACTCTTTAAAAAACTTGTGTGCGTGCAATGAATTAGGCTAATTGGATGGGTTTGGGGGGAAGAAGAAGTGCAGTTTACCAAATTAGAAGAAGGGGTTTTTTGGTGCTTGGAGCTGGGGGGGGCTCTCTCTGACTGTGGACTACAGCTGTGAACACCCTGGCATTTTGGATTTAAATAAGGGTCCCATGGAGTGTGTGCGGGAGAGAGATAAACGGTATCTATCTATCTCTCTCTCTCTCTCCATTTTTGTTTTCTTAATTTGTCAGGGGTTTCTTCTTTCTTGGCCTCGCTTCCCACATTGTTTTCTATTTTTATCCCTCCTTTTTTGGACTCTTTTTTTAATAAAAAAAATACTCTCCGTCCCATAATTATTGTCCTGTTTGAGTTTTTATTTTTAGTTCAAATTGTATTAAAATTGAAATCTCAAATTAGACAATAATTTTGGAACAGAGAGAGTACTATATAGTAGGAGTACATTATTATTTGCAATCGAAAATTTTAGAAAGAAATTTTCCAAATACATATAACCTTTATGTTTTGATGATCAATCATTACTCTTTCCTAAGGAAAGACTTACTCCAAGATATGAAATGAAAACAACAAATTTACAGAAACGGAAAAAAAAATTATATAGCGCAATATGAGTTTATTTTTAATTATGTCAAGAAGATCAGTCGCCAAAAAATAAAACAAAGTCATTACTTCCTCTGTTTTAAAATTATTATCCAGTTTGAGATCTCACTTTTAGTACAATTTGAACTAAAAATAAAAATTTAAACTGGACAATAATTATGGGACGGAGGGCGTATATGGTTAACATTTCGATTTCAGTCACTTTTACCAACCAAAGATGAAAATGGAGTATTATAATTTTTCTATTTTCTACAACGATGTTTTTGAAACACCAGTATTGCGTTTTTATCTTAGCATTATTATTACTACAGCATAGATCCTTATGTATAGTAGAGCTCGTAATAACAACAACAAAAAATTTATAATCATCATTTGATCGAAACTATATTAATTAATGAGTATAAACCACGGTCACCATTGTGATTTTCCCTTCGTTAGAGAAGCGAACATTCAACATTAATGAGTATAAACTTATTAAAAGAACCCGAGATATTTAACAGTGATTTAAGACCGTCAGTCTTTTCATAAATATTTGATGAAATTGAAACCATATAAGATAAAAAAAAATTGTCAAAAAAAGAACAGTATCACTTGAATTACAATATCATGATCAATGCAAGGTGAAATTTCCCCTTCCATACTATTCACATCAGTCACACAGCAACAATTGAATTAATGATTTCATATTCATCAGTAAAAATCTGTTGTCGCTTACTGGGTTGTTCTGCTTACAGTTTTTCACTGCAGTCAACATTAGCATAATTACTTTCTTACGTTGTTGGTATGTTGTTAGTTAAGATTAAGAAAGTGAGAGCCAACAGAAAAAAAGCTCAAGAGAAAGGACAGAGAGAGAGAGAGTGAGGGCTGTCAGGAAATGAATGATTGGGCGCTCGTGTGAGCTCTGTTTTTATAAACCCATACATGAATAAGAAGCCTTTGAAACGTGGGAACCCAGATTTGCACTAACTGACGCCCATTTTGCATCACCCTGATGTAGCACCAAAATTTATCACGATACAAAAAACACCATAATCATTTTAAAACCGAGAAAATAATAATGTCTACGTAGTTAAGGGATCTTGCAATACTTTGAAACTATTCCATACAGAGCCGCATTGTGGCTAAAATATAAAGTTGCAGTGGTAATTAGTGGCGGAAACAGAAGACTAGTAGAGACAGTCACCTCCTTACTTCAAGATTTTTATTAAGAAAAGATTACGAATTTAGTTAAAAATTTCTAAAAAATTATGTTTTCTCGTCTATTATACGTAACAAATGTCATTTCAACTTTCTTATTCAGAATTTTTTAGTTCCGCTAGTAACGATAACAACATATCAGTCTAAATAAATTCAAGCATTTGTTCATTTTTATTGCACCAAAATGAAAACCACTAAAAAGAGTAGTAGAAATGATTGATTAATATCTATTGAGGAAATAAAGACAAAATGAAGTGAGGTATCATAATAAATTTCCCGACAGGCAATTACGAAAGAGAGATGGTCACGAAGATAATGCAAAAAAGAGAGTTAAACTAACATTATCATCATTCCAAGTCGGCAAGTTCAACCCAAACTGAATGATTCACTGTGCTATTATCACGTTTGTTCCATTTTCTAGTCCCTTCCTTATCCACTTTTTTTTTTTCCTTTCTTCTCTTTTTGCTTTTTCACATCATCAATTCTCCTTTTCATTTATCTTTTTCATTCGTTATCATCAATTTCCACTCCATCTCATCTTGCACCGCCTTGGGATGTTATTTTCCGCTAGGGAAAAAAAGTTTCATGAAAAAAGAAAGAAAAAAAAATTATGACTTCGTAATTGCCTGTTTTTGTTATTATAGATTTGTAGTACCGACTTAAAACTGAAAATTTGAACATAATAATCATGTCAGAACAAATAAAGTATTAGAATGTTTGGTAATAATTTAAGGTGCAAACGAGGATTTTATTATCCATGGCTAACTTGTTATAGGGTACTAGAAAATTGCAACCCTAGTTATTTATAGGTGAATCGCTTAAGCACGAATGTGTTTCAAATTTCAATAAGTAACGTAGTAAATTATTTGACGATTATATAATTCACCGGTTAGAAATAAATGTTAACTGGATTAATAACCATAACACATTGCACAGGCGAATAATGCCAAATACGTATTTGATATTATCCACCCTGCAATGTGTTCAGGATAAATATGCATTAGCTCGTTTCACACAAACACAAGAAGTGCATTAGTTGCTTTAAAAAAAAGTTGTCATGAGTTGTATGTTTAGTGAAACAAATTAAATTGGTTGACCTGAAAATAAACAACTCCAAAGTGGAACGCTAAGGATAAAAATGAGTGCTGATACGATCAAACATCGTAACAAAGTTTCCAGCTGTTGATGATTTCCTCTCTGGTTGGTTTCATTTGTGAGAATGTCTAACAAATCAATCAAGCAAGAATTATTATAGTAATATATTAGTTTAAGATGGCATGAAGAAAACAATTTAATTAGAAATGAGAAGTCAGACAGTATTTATATTAAGGATAATTAATCAAATTATGTGGCATTGACTCTAGCTAGGAGTTGTGTGCCATTCCGTAATATTTATAAAAAACTTTAACGGGTATTCAAAACTAAGATATATTCAAATGAGAATATCAGAATTGGAGCAGTACATTACTGACAAGTGAATTTCATGAAGGTTCAATGTCTCTGAGCTAAGTTGACTGATTTGCAGATGGTTTATAATATCATCGTCTGCGGTTTCTTAATTACGTTGACCAAACCACTTTTTGTTTTCATTTTTTCCCTTTTCAACTCCGTCGTTTAATTTTGTTTTTCAATTCTTCAATCAAAAGAGTCATGCATACTGCATACATACCTTTTAAGATTTAGAAAATACTGAATTGATAGTTCCATACTTACAGATGATCTTCACAGTCGAAAGATTAGAATAATGATTCCCATATAATACAATTGGACCTAACTTCAGCATGATTGTCATTTTCAGTTAGTTTAGCTCAATATCATCTAATGTGTCTTATGACACTTTTAAACTGAAAGTTACAGGTTCGAATCCGCCCATCAACTCTAATGATTTTCCCTTCCGCATGAAATACAATATGAAATGCAATTCCAAAAAACTAAGAAACGGAATACTCCTCCGATCCTTATCATAAGTCATTTTGACTTGTCTTAAATTTCATTTAATATTTTTTTAATTAAAAATAAAACTTAAAAAATATTTTATAGTAATTGGGTGAACATGATAAATGTAAAAACATAATTTTCAAGTTTTAGTTTGAATTAGAAGAACATACTAAATAAAATTTAAGCCAAATCAAAATGTCTCATGATAACAACCAGAAGGAATACATTCTATTGAATTATACAGTGTGATGAAAGCGGAAAAAAAAAACCCATTAAGGGGAAAGTTGAATTTTGTTTTCCTAAACTTGTGTAATTCAATTATTCAGTGAAGAGTGATTAAAGAAAAAACTAAAGGGGTTGTGGTGGAGGGATAAGGACTCCTCCACCCTTAACTATAGGTTGAAATTCGAATCTCGCTATAGGCATGGACGAGGAAGATTAGTCGCTGTTGTCGACGACGAACACTATGCAATATAAAAAAGAAAAAAAAGAAAAAAAGTAGTGATGGACATCGGATAGGCCGAAAAGTCACTGAAGGCCTAAGGTTCTAATGTAAAAGGCCCAATGAGGGATAAAAAAAAATGAGTCCATTTCGTAAACAATATAGTTCAGTATCACTCTGCTCATCTTATCATCTTCTTCATCCAGAAGAGAGGCTCTGAGAAAGGAAACGAAAAAAGAAAGAGAAAAGCACAAAAAAAAATGTCAGTCTCAGCCATGTTCAGCGCAAGCATGATGGTGGCGATGCCGAACTCAATCGGGATTCCCGGCGGCGGCGCTACGAAATTCAAGGCGGCTCCTAGAATCCCTATCGGTGGAGCAGCTGCCGGCGGTAATAATAATGGGTTGGTGATAGAATGCTCGTCGAGGCCTCAGAAGAAGGCAACCGCACACCACAAGAAGACCCGGCCACGGAAGAGTCAGCCTTGGGATATCCGTCGCGGCCCTGCGGTTTATCCACCGCTGCCTCCTCTTCCCGCTGAATGGACCCTGGTCACCGATGAGGCTGATTCCGCTGCGGCTCAATCTGCCGTCTCTTCACCGGAGCCGGTTCAGTCGTAGACATTTGACTTGTAAAACTTGTTTGTATTTTGGTTCACAAAATTAGTTGAATTGTTTTGATGGATAATGCTACATTTGGGTTGCTGTTATGGAATGAGGGTTATTATTAGTTGATTGGTTGTGCACATTCGTGGTGTTGGTTTTGGTCTGTTTGCTTCTGGTCAGTTTTGTGTTGTGCATTTACAGAACCCAGTTGATGATAAATCATCAAAATCAATTTCCGTTCTCGAAGGCTCTGGGAGAGATTTGTATCGGTTTTGATGGTATTGATTTTGAACCATGACGGTCTCAAACCAACAACCTTATTATAGTTGTGTTAACTGTTAATGGCTGTCCCTCAATTAGCATTTAGCAATATACATCCATCCTCAACAGTTTATTTTTATTTTATTTTATTTTTTAATTTTTTTTTTCTCCTGTGAAGGCCAGTTAACTTTGCAAAGTTAACAGCTTTGAGTGAAATTTTTAGTGCATTAGTATTGGAAACGCCTCATGGCCTAGCTAATCTGCGTGTCAAGATGGAAATTTTGAAATAGAAGTGTGACATCTGATTCACCCTTACAGAGACTAGTTGGAAATATGAAAATTTGGAATTGGACACAGGCATTCTCCGTCCTGATTGGGGTGATCTGGGCACGCAATAATCTGTCTGTCCATCAGTCAATTTTTTTGGGGGATTTCTCCTCGGATCTGCAGAAAACCCATGAAGATGTCCTCAAGAATGAAGACAAAAAAGCTTTACTTGGTTATGAATCTAAAGTTACAATTTTCCATGGCATTCGTATTCTCCCCAGCTATCGTGATTCTTACACGTCTAGCTTCGCATTTCGCCCCCAGTTGGCTTGCCTGACTACCTTGGGAATACTTGTTCAGAGCCCAATGGTCTCGAAGTTTACACTCCCTTTAGATTTGCTGCATACCTAACTGGACACGCATAGCAGCAAGCAGCTGCACAGTGCATACAAAGTACCATGTGCTTTTGCATGTTTTAATTTCCGATGGCAAACCTGGTTGCAAAGACAGTTTCCAAATTGGCAATTCTCAAGAACACTGAGTTAGTGCCCTTTTGAGGAGAGTTGTGTTAAACACAATCCTTGGTGTCAAACCATTGTATCGACCCATAAAAATTTAAAACATATATTATCAGGACGTGTTTATTCCCCGTCCTAACTGAGCGATGGTAAAAATCATCACTGTTCGAAATATACTTAGCAGGAATGCATATACTCCCTAAACATTTTGGATTGAACAACCTGTTAAAAGAAGCTAATGATGCCCAGAAAGGAATGGAAATACTTTTCCCAAACCAGCAAGATGTACAATTTCTGAGACTATAAGGATGTACAATTTGAGGGTTATTGGCCTCCACAAACCTTTACATATTTGTGAGTCCTCCAGAAACCGCTAACAAGAATAAGGGGAACAGGGACCAGAAGAATCAAGGAAATGTTAAGCTCACGAATATGGACTGTACATGCTGGAAAGGCCAAGCCATTGGGTGGCCACATTCAAAGGGAGCAAGACCTTGGGATTCTCAAAAGGCAACGGCTGTCAGTACCTAGCAGTAAGGGCCAAGGGGTCTCCCTTTGGTGTCAGGTGGAGTGTATTCCTCAGCGGGTGGTGGGGCATTTTCTCTTATTGCAAAGATTCTTCAGCAGCTAACGCAGAGTCTTCCTCCTCAACTCTTGTTCCTGCTGCCTCTCTACTTGGTCTTTACTAGGCTCAGAAGAAAATCAGTAAATATGTGCTCATATTCTGGCATTTTCCCGTATCCTGCACAACAAACATGCCACTTCAACTCAACAGCAGCACAAATACAGTAACATATATTCACATGTAACATCAACAACAAAATATACGGGAAAAATCTGTAGAGTTTGAAAGTTCAGCTTACCAGGGAAGTAGTTGATGTCTATTACATAGTAGTTGTCCTTCTTTCCATGTTCTCGAATTATATCCAAATTAAAAAGCCGAAGACCCTGTCAGAAACAAAGAGGCCATACACCAAAAGAAATGTTTAGTCTCACGTTAATGGATTTTAAAAAACGTAAATTAGCTGTGAATGTAAATTAAAGAAAGGATGGAGGCAGCTAAATACCAATCTACGACGGAGTTCCCTTCCAAGTCTCTCAAGCAATGGTCGCGGCGGAAGCTCTGCCAGGAAAAAAAAAGCAACAGGTAATATAACTTAAAAAATAGCTAGGTCTAGACCTTTTATTTTTTACCTCTGCTACCACGTTTAAGCATCTAAATACTACTGACACTAAAATAAGCAAAATGACTTTAAGATTTTACGGCAGTTATGAGTATAATCCATCATTGTAATGGTGTAGTTGTTTGTCATCAAAATACATAGAAATACATTTAAGACCATCAATTGATCAATATATCAAAATAAATTATCATAATCACTGAAATAGCCAAAGGCTACAAAAGCTCATGCATGGAAAGGAGTCGACAATTGTAAACACAACAGGATTACACCACAAAATCAAACATATAACTACTCAACAATCTGGGAGGATGATGTCTACCTGCAACAGTTGGATCCAGATCTGCTTCATCAGCAGATGCAGCAGCACAAGAAACCCTCGGAAACCGGAAGACCCCAGCAGTTTTAGACAACTCATATTTGCTAACATCAGGCAAAGAAAAACGCCTGACAACCTTAATCGCTTCACCAACAACATAAACCTTGAAGAGAACACCACCTGCAACCAAAACACAGCCGACAGTGATCATGGATGTGGACTATATAGTGGAAGTGTCAAAGCGACATATACAACGGGAGAATACAGTGATCTGAGTTAATGCATCAATGCCACACAGATAACAATGACATACCATGATTAATAAATTCCTGCAGAACAAGTGGAGGTTCAAGCTTCCTAAGAGAGTATTGGTCGTAGGCCAGGGACAGCTCATGTGACTTAGCAACAAGGGGCTTCGCAACTGAACAAAGAAGAGTGAAATATTAGACCCAAAAAAAGGATAGTACAGTCTATACTCCAAGGAGAGGGAACATGGTATCTTATGGAATACTACATTGCTTCAGATAGATAACATGTTGGACGTCACAAAAGTCTAAAATATAGAGGTCAACCATGTTCAAAATCTATCTTCAGGAAGAAAAATGATACCCATATGGGCAAGCATACCTAACGGCAGTCTTAATCCAGCTGCAGCAACAGCATCTGGCATTGAGGATGGATCTTTCTTGATGACTAGTTGCTTTGGAACACCAACTTTGCCTGCATGAAAGAAAAGTATCCAGCTTACTTTACTTGAAGAGAATTATAGATAAACATAATTGACACCTCCACTCAACCGTGAGGAACCGAGACTCAAAACCCCAATAAAAAAAATGAGCATAAATACAGATTTATATGGACAAATGTACAAGACCATTACGACAATTGAACCACAACCTCAAGAATTTCCAAAATCCACCTGAAAACCAAGTATACCATTCACCCAAAGAGACAATCATTAGTAGCCCGCCCATGGAAAAGTGAAATTTAATTACCATATGCATCTGACAAGTTCAGGTCAGCCACATCTTGAAGCATGTATTGCCGATTGTACACATGCTGAATAGCATCTGGAGGATCAAGGACTGTGACTTCTGGATGTGTTTGCCAATAATCCTGCAAATAGAATTACATAATAAAATGAAACATTAGCAACCCAATACCAAAACCTAAAAGTGCACCAAACCGTAAACAGCCCCTATCAATCAAAGAAGCTTGATGCTATGACATGTAATCCTCATCAATAGTTTAGTGATTGAGGACAAGCATACATCTGACGGTGAGTACTTTTAACCCAAAAGAATGAAAGACAACACAAAGGGTTAACACTATTTCAAAGAGAAACCAGGTGATAGGTTTAATGTCATCAATGGTTACGGATGATTAACCACAAGCATAAATCTTAAGGTAGGTACTTTTGATCCAAAAGAATCACAAACCACACAAAGGCTTAACGTGATCTCAAAATGAACCAGTTGATAGGTTCAATGTTAACTAGACAAAAAAAGATCTCTTTAGACCCTATAACACTATATAGACACTCTTCCCCCTAATTCTTCTTAGCATGGAGCTGATTTCACTTCCCCGCATACAAAAGAAAAATGCTTACCCCGCAAAGTCGACTTTAAGTTTGTCATGAGGGAAAATGTTTGCTGAAATCAATGACTAATATGGCACCTTTCATTCGTCAAAAGCTTATCCAGTTTGATCCTATCTCCCTATTATTTACACAACTCTGGCCCTTTAACCCCAAGCAATCAAGACAATGGATGAAACCATCAGTTGAAGGAATCTCATGGAGGATAAATCTTCAGCAACACACAACTGAACAAAAATTTCCAAAAAAAAAAAACATGCCAGCGTAATAATCATTAATTAAATATCCCTATGCCCTAATATAAGGTTTTGACCATGATCCCAGGGAAAAAGAGACCATTTAAGGAAGACATTGATTGTCTGCATACTACTGGAAACCTGAGAATCAGATACACCGCCCAAGAGAAAGATCCTCAAAGTTGGAATCTTGAGGCTTCAACCTAATTAATCAACTCACGACTCACGGAGCAGGAATAGCCCATCCCTGAAAGTTATTTCAGATAGGAATAAATATAAATGACGTAACAACTCCACATGCATTGGTTCATCATATGGTTACCCCATGGAGCCCGAATATTGCCAGATAAAAGCTACAGCAAATAAGTTTAATGGCACTAGCGAAGAAGTAGATTTAGATGACCAACCTCAAGAATATGTCGCCACTCCTTTCCAGATAACTGCATTAATATATGGAAACAGGAATTTAGTAAGTGAAAGAATACCAATCAATTCAATCTGTTCATAAAATCTATAGAGAACTTCAAACTAGATAAAATAGGAGGCCCATAGCATCAACATACCTTATGCAACACAATGTCAAAAGGACCCTGTTCAGAGAGGGGTCTAGTTTGGTCAATAGCAACAAACTGAATACCCTTGTTCCTGAATCATGAATAAACTAATGAATAACCACAAAATTGTATGTACTACAGTCTGTGATCCTAAGCACTGCATATTTTTACGGGCAACTTTCATAACTCAACCCAGAGCTTTCAAACCAAGCAATAAGTGTTACTTGAATAACTAGCACATTTTAACAGCGAGTTTCATGTTCAAAACACGCTTGAGGTTCAAAAAAATATTGCCAAGTTAGTGACATCAGCAGTAAAAGGAGTCCCTGCAGTGTGGTTATGGAAAGGGGCATGTGATGGGCTAAAAAAAGATAAAAACAACTACAGAAGAAATAACAGCCCAAGCAGGAGTAAGTTTCATAGTTTACAATCAAAATTATAACCACAAGAACTGAACAGTGGCTGCTTCATAGCTTCTTCCATCGTTGTCATTAGGTAAAGCAGTGAAAACATAACAAGAATATTGAAATAATCACAGGAGTATGACCAGCACGTTAAAATATATCAATACAGCTATGTTTGACAAATACTCTGTCAATGGTACAGTAGAGACAATTATTTCAACAAAAATCTTCCCAGGAGGAAGTCACATCCTGGAGCATTGACCACAGGACCAAAGCATATTCAGGTAGAATATTCACCAGAATCAGGGATCATCAAAGCAATTATCATTCAGAGCAGTAACCAAAGCATACACCCTATGCTTTCTCTATGAAAAATCAAGCGCCACGGCAAACTCAAAGAGGATTCATATATTTTCAATGGAACCATCAAGGGCATGCGAAAGAATCGAAATTTCAAAAAGGGAAAAATAGCAGCAATTTTAAGCCACAGAGACCTGAGAAAGTATTTCCATAAATCACACATGCAGTCAAATTAAAACTGAAATAAATAAAGTTGAAAAAAGAACACTCCCATCTGTAAAGAACAAAGAAAGGAAATACCTAGCTAGACCTTCCAATTTGGGCTGTAGAAAGCTCTTAACTTTCTTGGACGTCAAAGCGTACCCCACAACCACCACTTTCATCGTCTGTGGGAAACTTCCGACCGCCGAATACTTCCTCTGTACCGCCACCATTTCATCCTCCTCTCTCAGCCTCTCTTCCTCCTCCTCCTCATCCCTCACCACCTCTTCTTCCTCCGTCTTAAATACCTCACCTCCCATTTCCACCCACTCACCGACAACCACCACCACCTCTGTCGCCGTTAGTATCTCCGAAAAATCTTTACCGGAGCTTACAAAAACTTAGGGAAAATCAATCGAATTCAAACCCTAGCTCCACAATCAATGTCGATAATCCAAGAAACTGATTTTTCCAATTAAAAAAATGTCCAAGAAAACTAAAAACAATCCTTTATCGGAGAAAAAATCTTCCAATCTTTCATCGGAATATATCGCCAATTTTAGCAGAAATGAAAATCAGCAGGTTTTGCTGAGTTTAATAAAATACTAATGCACACTGAGAGCGGAAAATATTATAACAATAAATAAACATAATTTATATAATTATTAATAATATATATATAGCTTTGGTTGTTTTTTTTTTTTTTTTAAGAGAGAGAAAGCTCTGTACTGTGCTGAACTAGAATGTTTAGATGCAACGCGTGGAAGGGAAGCAGCTATTTATACAGAGGTGGAGATGAGTTGGGCCCTACTTTTCAACGCGAAGCATGACGTGGAACACACATTTTCCTTTTTTAATTCTTTCTTTAATTTCTCTAATAACTTTATTTTTTTTATTGTAAATGTACACTATAAAAGTGACTAATTCCTTTACTAGGATAAATCATTAATGGATAGTTGGCCCTCATAGTCAATTGTAATTTATTGGTTCTGGTTTTTATTATAAAATATTGTAATTTCTCTTAAATTTTATTTATTGTTTGTTTTCAATTAAAAACAAAATAAAAATGTTTTTTTAGATTATTAAAATCTCTTAATTATAATAAAATATTTTTAAAATTTCATATTCAATTGAAAACACATGATAAGTGAAACCTAGGAAAAATTATAATATTTTATAATAAGCACTGAAGAGAGTACTTTTGATTACTCTTTTATCTTAGAAACGAAGTCTATATCGTAATGTAAATTGTATTATTTTTTATTGCAATTCAAAAAATTACAATATGGATGATTTGTTTGGGCTGGAGGAAATATTTTATTTTATATTTTTGGCCATCGCCACTAGTTGTACCAATGTTCCTCTAGAATATTTGAGAAATTCGATTAATTGAGGATTGGGTCACGGTGATGACCTGAGTCTTTTTCCTTTTTTTTTTTTTGGTTATTTAAATAGTTTCTGATAAATGGGATTTTGGGCGAAATATATTTTAATTAGACTACACGTGGAGTCCAATTGTTGGGTCTTATCTTTGCCTAGTTGGATGCTTAGCAATGTGATTTTGGTCTTTTGGAGATACGGTTTAGACAGTAAAGACTTTATCCTTTAGTATTTATTTATCAGAATTTTTTTTTCTGGAATGGAAATTGGAATATTCTTTTGTCAAGTTGAAAAAGAATTTAAATGTTATTTGCCTAAACAGTATCAGATTACAATGGAATCTCTAATAATAAAGTATGGAAAAGGATCTGAGTTGACCAATTAGGTCTCACTCAATTTAAGTTAATAATGTGACAATATTGTAAGTGGAACATAGATTCCTTACGGTGAAATTGAAATTTTGGATGGTTACCGCAAATGGTTTTGGCACAAATAAAGAAAATCAAATCATTATAATTTCATTAATTATCTATAGTGTATATTATTATTATATTAAGAGAGAAACCAGAGAGAGGAAATCAAAATTTTTCTTGCATTGACACATATGACAAAATCTTATGTGTCATTTTCTTATTGGTTAACATAAAGAATATTTACAACAATTACACTAACAGTCCTTTGAATTTCCGGTTAAGCAATTGTTATTGATTCGCGATTAAAATATATCAATTAATTATGTGGCAAACTTTCTATTTTGTATCCGGTGAAATGAAAAAGGAACGAAAATTTTTTTAAAAACCAACATTAATGGTTCTTTTTTTTCATTATGTGTCATATAAAAAAGGTAAACATTTATTTGATTCAATATTAATACTGATTGATTTGAAAAGATTTTCCAATTGGCTTGAATAATGCAATTATATATTGATCATTAAATAATATTAATAATTTTTTGAAATTCAAAAATAATTAATACAAAATCATCAATTATTCTTTAATTGCAAATTCTGGGTATCATTTTATAAAAACTCTTCTAAAAAAATAGTTAGTAAACTTAGAAATGAGTTCACAAATCTATAGTACTTAATTAAAGCAGTAAACAAAAAGGACATGTGTCAGCACCACAATGAAAATTTTCTCGCCAAAAGTCATTTTCAGTACAAAATTATTTTTGACACGTGGCACTCTAACTAATAAAAAAAAAAGATAGAATAAATAAATACATAAATCCCTTAATTATAGCTCCATAAAAATATCTTAATTATAGGTATATACTAATCCTTTAAAACAACAATATTTAGTTGATAAAATCAAATACTAGGAAATCCCCTTAAACCAAGTGAAACACCAGTAATATCTTCCTAACCCCCAATTTCAAAGAATCTCTTCCATTCCGCTCCTCTCTCACATCCGGGCCTTTAAATCAATTACTTAAAATCTGACATCAATTATCAATCCATCTCTTTCTAGAACAGAGAAAAAATAAGCTGTCATGAAAGAAATTTAATTTTTTAAGGATGATTTTTTTTTTATTCTTCTGTTGTAAATATTGATTTATGTAAATCCGGGTATAAGTTAACTGTTATAAATTAAATGTTGTAAATTTGGACATAGATTTATGTGTAATAGCTCACTTTCTGTTCTTTAAATTGATTTTTTATTCTTCTATTTTTTTTCATTCTTTTAAGAATAATTCATATTTTTTATTTAATCAATTTAAAAATACATGCAACACCCCGGGCATTCGCCCGGGGCAAACATCTAGTGATAAAGTATTAAAAAATAGGAAAAAACTAATGCAGTAAACCAAATTTCCGCATTATTTTAAAAAATTTAAAAATTTTATTATCATTCGGAAATTATTCCTAATAGATTAAGAAATTATTTCCTTATCATATATCTAGTTGTAATTTATTTTGTAATTCAAAAGTAATTAATATGCTAGAAGTGATTTTTTTTTGCTTTTAATTATAAATGAAATTAATCCCTAAAACTACTCCATTTTCCTAACTACATATTCAAAAATAATAAAGATGATTGTATATAACGATCATAAATAACTTAATTATAATTGTTCTTTATCCGGTTCCATGAATTACGTTATTTTATCAGATTTGAATTTGGAATAATTATTACTTATCACACTTAAATTTTAAAAAAGAAATCTTATCTAAATCAAACACACTTGAGCACTCATATCCCTGCACTACCTATATAAGGCTCAATCGGTTATTGATATTCCACTCGAAATCATGGCTGGATATGAAGAAGAAACGTATAATTCTTTTTTGTATTTATTTATATCTTAACATGTTTGAATCATTTTTCTTTTAATTCAATTATGCAGATGTGTGAAAAAATTAGAAAAACAAAAAAGTTAGAGGTGATGATTACAAGGATGAGCAAAGGTTTGTCTTTCCTTTACGGTATCATTGCGAAAAATAATTCAAATTGCACTTATGATTTACTTTTATGTCATCTTTTATTTAATTTTAGTCATACAATGCTTATGATTTTCATTTTATTGTTCATATATTCTCTTTCCATTAACTCAATACTTACATTTCATATCAAATGTAATATTTTATCTTTATATAATATATATATATATTAATATGAACTTCAAATATATTCTACACCTTTTATATTTTTTATGATTTTTGATAATGTAAAATAAATACACTCCACACATCATGCGTGTTTAACATCTAGTATAGATGATTCACTTAATGATCACAAGAGTTATCTTTATGAAAATGACTAAACCATCGTATGTGAACTATAGTATTTTTAGTGAATAATGGTAGTAAGATGTCATCGAAATGTTACAAAAATATTTGGTACAAAAAAGTACTAAATCAAATCTGTATATTGAATTGTGATTGGATGAATCTTAAAATACTTATAGGGTCTGTTTGGTTGTAAGGGATTTTGGGCTGGAAAGTAATCTGATTTCTTGTTTTTAAATTTCAGTGTTTGTTTCGCATAGAAAAGTAATCATTTTCTGAATTCTTAAATTCCTTTGTTTGTTTACTTTTGGGAAAGGAAAAAGAATCCTGAAATCAAGGAAAATAAACATAACTTTCCTGGATTATGATTCCTCACTTTGGAGGTGGTATTGTGATTCCCATCTTTTAGGATTTTAACATTTACTCACTTTTTATTGTCCATAACTTTTTTGTTAATCATCATTTTCATATCATTCATATTTATTTATTTTTTCTTAATCTAATTTATTTATATATATAATTTTTAAGTTTTTTTTGCAATTTGATTAATTATCTTTTACATTATTAATTGACAAAATAGTTGATTGGCCACCTAAAAACTAGACACTTTATCAAATTAATTTTTTTTAATAAATAAAAGATAGGACTAGGATTATGCTAGGAGTAAAAATGAGAAAAATAACTTTTAAATATTTCTTTAAAGTATATCACAACGTTGTAGAAATAATTTTTTTTAAAATACTGTAATACTTATAAGATAGTTTTAACTTGCGATAATAATATAGTAATTGTAAATAAATTTAACACTGAAAAACTCATGTCTATCATATTAAATTAAATTTAAATTTAATTAATCTAACTCAAAATTGAATCATCTTTGATGGATTATAAATTCAAACACTCATACACACATACACGTATATATAGAGTTAATGTACTAGTAGATGACGTTACACTTTGAGCATATCTCCTCGAGATTTTGAATCAAATTTCATAGAATATTTTGGGGGCTTATAGACTAAAAAAATATTATTCTTACATTCAAGTATATTTTCCAATATGTAACCAAACAGAAGAAAATATTTATATTCTTCAGAAATATATTCTTAAGAATCACAAAGTAAAGTAAAATATTAATTTTCCTTAGAATTAAAATTCCAGGAATGTTAACTTTAATTTCCCAACTTTCGAAACATCCAAACAGGCCCATAATGTTAACCAAATCCTGTCACGTGTGGTTTTTATAGTAAATAACTCCTTACATTATTGCATAGATTGCTTACTCAAAGCACAATGCAGTCCAAGTTCATTTGGTTCTTTCCCAAAGATGAAAAAAGAAAAAAGAAAATAGAAAATAGATCCCAAGATATTCACTAATTTTTTTTTTTTACCATTTGAATAAATGATTCTCGTTTTCGTACCTTTCCGTTTTTAGTACACAAATGACAAATCAAAGGGAGAAGCAAATTGAAAAGATTCAGACCCCCATGTCGTTTTTACCAGTTGCCGGCCATATCAGTCTCAACTCTCAAGTCAAATAATACAATATTTATTCAATAATTCAACATTTTCCTGCAATGTATATTAGTAGTACTTTTTTTTCATTCGAAAAAAGTAAGGTGACTTCCTAAATGTGTCAC